TCTCAAAGCATTTTATTTTTAATTTTTTTTATACAAATTGTATGAATATAAATTTGGTACATGTCATCTTCTCATTGGGGCTCACTTATAAAAAATATTAAAAATATTTTTTGATAAAATATAATGACTAAAATACCCCTTGAATTTTCCAGGGGTATTTTGGTCATTTCATTTTATTGAAACTATTTTTTTATATTTTTCACTAGTGATATTTTAATAGAGGAATGGACGTCCAAAATTTGGTGTCAAAATAGTTTATAGAAAAAAATTAAAAATAAAATAGTGTTGAGACATGACATTGTGATTGGGGCAATCTTAACCCTCCATTCAAAATGGGCGGTTGGATAAGGGGAAGATAAAACTTCTATGTTGTAGGGGAAGCATAGAAAGCTTGCCCTTTTTTAAAATTGAGAAATTTTTGTGGCGATCGCCGAAATATCCAATATTTAGCCTTGGCCCTAGCTCAACTCTTGTCCTTATCTCTAACCTGGCTTGGAAAAATCCAAAAAGACCCTAGCCCAAGCCTTAACTAAACCGGCTAAGCCAAATAAAATAAAAATAAACAAAAAAAAAACGGAAATAATGGTTGGGCTGACTCTGTCATAGACCTAGTTTAGTTCTGACCTTGGCTTAGCCCCTTGGGCCATTTTTGAGTCCCAGGGCCTAGTATTTTAGTGCTGCTCCAGGCCAACCAGCAATTACTAGCCATAAAAGGCGCATTAAAATTTGTGATTACATTCATAATTTTTCCTAAATTGACTCTACTTTGGACCTTGAAAAACTCTCTAATTGATCAGCTTTATTTCGAGATGTATGAATATGAAAAAAAAAAAAATTTCAAATGTTAAAAATAATACACGTTGCCACGTAATATCTAGACTGCGCCTTTTTTAGACTTCTAAGTATATACAGGTGTGGTTAATTCGTATCATTTCTTAAGCTCTAAATTCCATAATTAAAGATGAAAAAATACATGTTTAGGCTATCGCATAAGTTTCAAACACCAAAATTACGTCTCTGCGGCAAAGTTTAAAGGTACGTCTTACCCTGGTAACGTAAGGTTGGCGCCGCACCATACTTTGTTCCTACAATAGGGTGTCCTCTACTACGATTTTATGATGGAAAAAGTGTTGAATGAGTGAGGGACCATCAAACGCCTAGCTTCAAGATGCGAGGCCATAAAGAAGGATTACTTAAAAGGGAAAAGTTTATATAGAGTCGAGGCTCTAAGCAATGAAATTTGAGCCTATCTCAAAAAGTTCATTAGAAGGTTGTTTTGATATCTAAAATATCTTCAAATTGATCATCTCGACATTAAAATGGATGGACATGAGAAAAAAATGGATTTCATGTTTTGGAAAAAGTGTATTTTGTAATACATTTTTGGACCGTCAATTTTCAAGATTTTCAAGTTTTCATAGATCTGACGATCTACACTAATTTTTTAAGCTTTAAACTTTATAAATAAAAATGAAAATATATTTAAGGGTATCACAAAGATTTCCAGTATTGAAACCACATTTCTCGATGCCATTTGAAGATAGGCTCTAATTTGATTGTTTAGAGCGTACACTCTATACAAACCGCACCCTTAAATCCAAAACCGATAGAGTAAAAAAATTCAAAAAATATTGGTTTTAAATTTTTAAGATTCATTCATTTTCCATATTCATGATCCTCATGTTTGGGATTTTTTATTCCTACAAATTTGAATCTAAAATCTATGATTAAACTAGATTTTGTAGGGGACAAATATGAATTGGTCAGCATCCGAATATTTTTATAATTATAGATAATCCACAATGGAAAAGTTTATATAAGGTTACAACCTTACTTGTAGAAGTAAAGTAGTATTCCACATCTTCTATTTTATTTGAATGGTGTAGATTTAATATTATCTCAAAAGCCATGTTACTTTTTTATACTATCTTAAAAATGTGTTAAATCCGCACTATCTAATTAAAATAGACAGTGTAGAATATTGCAATATTACTTCTACAAATAAAATTGCAACCTTGTATAAATCACACCTCCCTAAATTCACAACTCTTCACGACAAATATTAATTATATAACAGGTTGTATAGGGTGGATTTATTAACTATGTATTTTTTTTATTTAAATGGTATCTTTTAGAGAATGGGGTTGGGTACTAGTGGTAGCATTACTTATGCCCCAGCTAAGGTATAGGCTTCTATTCTCACCTGACACCTTAAAAATTACTGATGATTTAGAAAACAGGTAGATGCTCGTAATTCCCACTAAATTACCTAAAAAAAATGTATTTTTCATGGTAGCTTATTTATTAAGCAATGGTTAATGTATAATTATCACTAAAAAATAAGGGTACTTTCATTATTTTTATAAGGAAAAAATTGCAATTTCTATTGAATGACGAGGCCATGCTACTAATAAATTTTCGGGACACTAATTTTCAAAATACTATTGTATTTTTACAAAAAAAAATCAAATATACATTCTCTTAATGATTAAGTTACCTATACAAAATGAATTTTAACAAAAATTATTGAATTTTGAAGAAAATTCACCCATTGCACATATTTTAACATTAATGTTTGTATTTTAAGCGGTTATTATGAAATGAATATATTTTGGAGAACTAAAATGTGGCTCCAATAGGTGAGAATATGAAAGAAAGTAAACTTTGGTGGGCTCGTTATTACAATGCATACCCAATAAAATACTATTAGGTGCGAGTTGGTTCACATGGAAGGCTAAAAAATGGCAAGAGATAAAAAGACATGGTTAGAAGTAGTGAAAAAAATATATAGGGACTTATGACTTCACTAAAGGTAGGACCCTTGATAGAGCATAATGACGGACTATAATTCATATAATTGATCCCAAATAATTGAAAAAAAATTATAATGGTGATGATTTTAAACCGTTGATAACTCTAAACAAACCCAAACAATTCTTCAAATAAAACTATGAAGGGAATATCTACACCGTTTACTTACACAAAACTAACTTCAAAATAAAAAACTTTCATACTGCCAAGTGCAATTTTCTCGAAGCACAAGATTGAGTGTAGTAGTATTAGATTGAGAGTAGTAGGATCATCAGGGACAGTAAAAAAAAATGCAATTTAATCACTAAAAATTTTGTAATCATTATCATCACCATCCAATCGATGGACGTGGATCACCATCAAATCAATGGACGTAGATGACAGGGAGAGTGGGACTGCCACTCTTTCTTCAACACCTTCCATCCATGTTTTAGACACAACCCTCATGTATCGCCACCATGGATTCCCAGTATTCATGTTGATTAAAATATATTTTTCGATTCAATGGACAACGGGCATCTCTTGCTAATGGAGAGATTAACGGTAAACCTCATCCTCATAGAATTTATCCTAACCCTTTCATCATCAAGAATGAATGGTGGATGGCCCT